TTTTTCTTTCCTAGTTTACTTGTAAAACTCAAGGAGGGGCTGCAGCTCGTGCCTCTCGTTGGGATGATGTATGAACTCACTCTAAAGTTGCTTCTGAATCAATAAACTTATTATTATTCATCAAAAAAAAACATTGAAATTAGACAGCTTCGCAGCATATTGTTTTATTCATTAACCTTAGTTGCTTGAACATGCATGCATATAAGCACACATGCATTGAGGCCCCGTTCGTTTACAACTTTGTAACTTACCTAAGTAAATGTTTCCTGGGTAACATTTACCTGGGTAAATTCACTTACCCATGTTCTTTTGATTCCCAGGTAAGTAACAGAATAACATTTTTACCCATAAAAAGCTAATATTAAAATGGGCAAAGTTGTCCCGTTATGCTTTACAAAATTTCCCCGCAGGTGGGAAAGTTACTTACCAACCTGGGACTCTAGGAGATGGGTAAGTTTTACCCGGGGAAATGGAGCTGATTTTACCATGGGGCCAATTACTAAATGCAAAAAGAACATTGTAAAGTTGGTCGATGGGAAAAAAAATACCCATTGGCCAACCCCCCCCCATTTACCAGTAAACAAACGAGGCCTAACATGCATACCTATTTTAGTGATGCATAGAGCATTGGCTCACTTTGCCAGTGCAAAACGCACATGAATTACCTAGCAACCTTAACCACATTTTGGAGATATTAAGAACAACTTCCTTGTGGAATGGGCAGTTATTAGGATGGAATATTTATTTCCCTTTTATTCTTCTACTTCAGGAAAAGCTAACAAGGCTCAAATTATTGGGAGCATCGTTCATATCTTTTGGTCCCCAAAACACCTGTTTACAAGTGTTTTTGGGAACCCCTTTTTTAATGAAAAATATATGTAAATATATAAACCAAATTTTGAAAAAAAAAACATAAGAAGCACAAAATCTGATGCACTTCTGCTGATACACAGAGGTATATCGATACATTGAACCTTGAAGTTGAAAGCTAAGACTGATTTGGCTGGTTATAAATAGAAGAGTTAATGTAGAACAGTAGAAGAAGAGGTGCTGTTTTGGATTGAAGATGGGAGTTGTTTTAGTGGTAATCAAGATACCTTATTTAGGAGTTTGAAAGTTCAACTTATCATCTTTGCCAACATTTTCTATCCATATAGCATTAACTAATCTGCTATATTAAACATAATGTGTATGAATGGTACTGTAAATGAGTGCTTGGAGTGGGGTTTACCACCAGGACCAGAGTAAATTTGTATTTTTTTGTAGTTGTTTTTCAGTGTTGCTGATGCATAACTACAGCTTTATATTTCTTTCCCGCTATCTGGTTTTCGGGTAGCAAGGCTCTTTTACAAATGAAATTCATGCTGTTATTTATCAAAAAGTAATGCATACCATGTATGGAAACTTACATACATCATAAGATATGTATGTATTTATCTGTTCATTATTGTCAGCTAAGCATCAATTTGGCGTGCCATTCCAAACCACCTAGTCATTAACTAGACACCTTAACTACAAGATCAAGTTTTGCCTAGAAAATTCCCACCTATCCAGAAAACTACATCCATTTGCTTTACCAAGAATATATTCTTAGTTATTGGCAATATGTTAAGTCTTCATTCATTCCCCATGCCTTTCAGTATGTAACTTTTTTTGATAGGTAATTAGAGTGTGTAACCTCGAACTTAAATAAAATGAATCAAGTCTCAGTCAAAATGTCTGACATGAATAGTAAAAACATTACAATGTATTGTGAAGCCATTCAAAATGGCATAGACTACAAGTCTACAACAACAAAGTCTTCTAGGCATGGCACTAAGAAAGAAATTCTGGATGCATATTGCATTCAACAAAAGATGGGCTATGGTTACAAAGGCAAGCATTATTCGTCAAGTTCAAAGCACACCCACCATTCAACTTTCTGTATTTGGTGCCACAAAGTAAAGAAAGTTAGTGCTCATCCAAAAACAAGGTAGGGGTCTACTTTCTGGTATTTGGTGCCACAAAGTTAAGAAAATGAGTGTTCATCCAAAAACAAGCTAGGGGGATAAGGATCCACAGAAAGAGATCATACCACATCCTTCAATTTCTGTATTTCAGCACTATTATCAGCCAATCTAGCAGAAACAGTTTGTAATTCATTTGCCTGTTTAAAAAAAAAAAATACATTTTTAGTGTTCAAACCGTACACTTACAAGGATGCACAAAAAATTAAGAATACCAACCTTCCTATTGAGAATGATGGACAAAGACTGAACTTCAGCTCTCAAGGAATGAACATCACAAGTAGCTTCTTTGTATTCATTTAACTGGCTTTGCATAATGCCCATCTCCTTGGGGAATGAAGAAACAAAGGCCTTGAATTCTGCAATAACTTCTTTCCTTCCTAGAATGCGCAAGTCAAATAAGATTGCAACATGGTAAAATGAAAAACTAGAAAGAATGTCAAGAATTCATCGTTTAAAAGTAACCTCTGAATATCTACCTGGTTCTCTTGAAACTTCTTCCAGCCTAGACTCGACGAAATTTCTTTCATCAATTCGTTTCTGTATCTCTTTTTCTAAATCAGCCATTCTAGAGTCAGCAACTGCAGAAGCTCTTCGAAAAACAACCGCTAAATCAACTTTCATGTTGGCATCTTTTTCCCACCAGGTAAAGTTATCTTTCTCAACCTATAATTTTATATTTGAAGTAAACAGTCAGCAATACCAAATTAGGATGCCTCCAAATAAATGATTAAAACTTCCATAAACAAAACTACCGACCAGTTACCACCTGTAGTTTCTCGAATAAGGCTTGATACTGGACTACTTCTGCTTTTGATTTGTCAAGCTGATCGCTTACCAAAAGGTATGCTTTTGATGAAAAAATTCCTTTCACATCCTTCAAATTGGTCTGCTGATTAAAATCATCGTATTAAACTACACTGAAGGGAACAACTAGTGCCACTATAATGTAGACATTGGCACCGTTTGGCGCGTCTTTTTGCATGGTCTTACGGCTGTTTACAAGCCGGGAAGACCGAAAATCGGTCTATTCCCGTTTGGCACGCGGAAGATCTAGCCGCCAAAAGACAGCGCCGAAAAGACGCGTGAAGCCCATTTTGGGCTGATTTCGGGAAAGCTCCAAATGAAGCTTCTCGCGTCTTTAACGTTTTAATCTCGCACGGAAAGACCCAAAACGATGCGCATCTGCCAAACGGTCTTCGGGCTGCCCAGATCTTATGTCAAAAGCTCAATGCATCTAATGACTGTCAGAGCTACGAGAAGATCTTCTCAAAAAGACTTGCCAAATGGGCCCATTATTATTGGGAAGTAAACATGGAAGTACATGAACATTGAAGAATAGAAAACTAGGAACATTTATAAAAAGGGAAAAAAAACCTGCAAATTAGATAACTGCTTCAAAATGTGTAGCCTTTCTTCGTGAAGGCTCTTGAGTTCTGCCAATCGACATGAGGCTAACTCCTGTTTAGGGTTCAAAATCATGCATATTAGTATCTGTTCAAGAGGAAGTCTACCCATAAACAAAAGATCTTGGCAAATTACCGATAACTCCTTGAGTATTGATTCCATATCTTGCAAACCTTTTTGCTTATCCCTGGACTTATCTCCAGCAATATGTTTAGTTCCCAAGTTTAAAATAGGAAAAAAAGCACTTTGTCCTGCATCTCTCTGTGCTTTGAGAGCTGCCAAATTACCATTGCTTTCTTCCAACTCAGAAACAGTACTCTTCAGTTCCTCTGAAAAACACCATCAGAGGTAATCATCAAGTTTCAATATCCAATGCTGCTCAGGTCATGCTCAAATTTAACAATACAACTCAACCTTGGTTGGCACAAATCCAGGTCAAATGGAACATGTTTCCAAGTTCTTTAACTCCAGGAAAAATGAAAAGAAAATAAAACATGCCCATACCAGAAACTCAATATGCTAAGGCCATTTCCCTAATGCTGTGTTTGATTTGACCAAAAGTAAGAGGGGAAAAGAAGTTGAGGAAAATTTCTCAAGGAATTTTACAAAAATCCTTGAGAACTCTCCCCTTTCTGTTTCTCTTATTTTCTATTAAACCAAACACAACATAAGGGATCACCATGGAGGAATAAACAAAAGACAAATTCATTTTAATATAATTACAAATTTATTACAATTACAGGCAAGATTGCTTTTTTCTTATCAACAATGTATGATTTTGAAATGTTAAAGTGCAAGTATAAAGTAGAAAATAAAAGGATTATAAGAAGCATTTGGGGCCACTCAAACTTATATTCCCACAAGAGATTCAGGAACACTAAAGTTAATCATCACCCAAGCATATTCCAAACAGAAAAACAGGATACAGACCCACAAAAAAAACGACTCAAACAAGAAAATATAGTCCCAATGAAAGGAGATAAAGCAAAGCCGAACACAAAACACATCATGGCCCCAGGCCTGAAATATGAACTATGATATAGAGACTGCCTCTAACACTCCCTCCAGCAAGCAAATCGGCAACCAAATTTATTAATATTAAAAAAAAAACACTGCTTTGGCATGGGAAAGGTATTCCAGTTCATGACAAACTGAAAATAGCAATCAAGTCATTGAACTTAAAGCAATTGATACAGAACTATGAACTATCAACATGAAGATACAAATTTCAAATTTCCGGTGTGCAACTTGTATATCCTGTTATGGTTGAGAAGCACATTACCTACTAAACGTTTCAGTTCAGCTTTGTTCTTTGCATTAGCATCTCGATGATTCTGCACCTCACTTGCCAATATTTTATGTTTTAAATGAAGGTCATCCAGTTCCATCCTTAATCTTTTAACATCCATTGATGAATCATTGGATGTTTTTTGTCTGCAGGGATCTAGAGAGAGCACAATAGAATACACAAAAAAATTAACAAACAATCTAAAAGGGAACTCTAAACAAATTTCTTTCACCCAGAAACATCTTACCATCTTGAAAATTTTCCAGGAGTCCAAGAGACAGTTGATCCTTAGAATACCACAGGTCATCAATGGAAGATACTATATTTTGCAAAATGTTTTTGGTCATTGTGCAGGCTGTTTGTTTTTCTTCTTCCAATTGATTAAGAGGGCCATTCACAGAGCAACTTTCAGTTGCCCCCGTCTCCAAGAGCCTGGCCAGAAAAGAATCCTCGACAGGCAATGGTGGCTTGTCTGTCAACATGGTTAAAGACCCAAAAAAAGAAAGTTACAATCACTTAAAACCATATATTTTCATACAATACAGCAACATTGGAATCTATCCAAAAAGGAAAGATATTATGCAAAAACTTATTACATACACAATCCAAGTAAATAACAAACTACCCAATAAGAACAGAAAAAAATGTGGAAGTAACATCAGCGTATCAAGCAGGATTGTAATATTAGAATTTATAACAAGCCCATAAAAGAGAAGCATAGGAATATCTAAAATACATTGGCAAAAAAAGAGAAAAAATGCAAAGAAGAGCTTTTTCAGACTTTTTGATCATGCAGCATCAGCTAATAATAGCACCGGTGAGGAGAAATATATTCAATACTCTCTTCTCTTCTCTTCTATATTCTCTTCTTTATTTAATAAAATTTTCCTTTAACTATAAGAAAATTCAAATAATCTTTACATTTCTCACCATCAGGAACCGATAAATTCTTGGAATCCTTTCCGCTGCCCACAGAACTCGTACGAACAGAACATGATTCCAAGTCATCAACCAGCTGTTGAGAAAAGAGTGTCCTCATCTTGACATCAACAAAATATGAACAAATTGACCGGTCATAGTTAGAGAGAAGAACCAAAAAATGCAAGTACCTGTTTCCAAGACCTGTTTACCACACTTATTGTGTCATCATAAGCCTGTTGTTTCTCCTTCAGCTGATAGAATTTATCCTCAAGAACAAAATACTCGACCTTCTGAGCTTCCAACTGCTGCACAAGCTTTTGATTTTGATATTGCAGCACAGCAGTGTCAAGCTGCAACATAGGAAAATGACCAACCCATAATAAGTAAACTTACATTCAAAACAAATAATTCAATAGAGGAAAAGGTATTACTTCTCTTAACAACAACCATCTAAATCACCCACACAAGAATGCATACCATCTGTCTCAGTCTCGTATTAGGAATCCCTTTGAAAAAACAAATCATTTTTTAGGAGAGTTTTTAATGCTTTGCTGCCTCATTTATTCAATCTTGTTTTCCAATACCTCCCATTGGAGTTCTGAAAAAACAGAGTGGAGGGTGACTTAAGAGTAGTTGTGGGCTAGATGAACAACAGAAATCAGATCTCTCGGCAGCACCAGAACATGACGACAGAATATAAGACCTGGGGAGGGATACAATTATAGAATGTTTATGGGTACACATATCAGCCAATGCATGGCTAATGCTTTGGCAAGACAGAGTGTAAATAGAGATGAGGTGTTCTTGGGGCTATGTAATGAGTTTGGGGTTGGGATAGGGGGTAAAAAGCAATCAACAGGGTGGGTAGGTGGCTATGCCAGCCTAAATTGAAGTGTCCCCATTCATGTTCATACTCTATTGACTCGTTCTTCTAATAAAAGTTAAGTTATTCATAAAAAGGAAAAGGAAAAAATTCATTGAAGCTAAGTGTAGGGAAGAAAATCCCTGGAAATGTAGAAATTAGAAAATACAACAAAGAAAATCAATGGAAAGAGGTTACATGGGAAAATGAGAAAATCCTTTGCCTAGATATGGATGAACATTATAGGAAAGAAAAAATCCCAAAGAGGATGGTCATCGTGGAACTAAGTACCACATGATACATGGTGAAGAAACAACAAAATCAGAGTATGTATAACCTCATATCATAGTACAGGAGTCTGAATGATCAAATTAAATAAAACTACCTTAATAGCAATGTTCTGTAATCAGGATTTTAAGTATAGACTCATCAAGAAAACCATGAGTATAAAAGAGAATGAGCAATATAGTAAATATTACTTTTCTAACAAGTAACTGATCAAAGTGTTATAGTTGAAAATATAGATTACAAGATAGAAATGAATAATAAACTACACCAAAGGAGGAAAACTGAAACCACAGTACCAGCCACCTGTAATCTTAAAGAAGCCCCAAGTCCCACTAGCCCACCAGGAACGGCACAGTGCCAATAGAAAACATCCAAACTAACCCATGCTATTAACAAGGAATCTATTTTGGTGATTTCATTAGATTTCAAAAGATGGAAGAAGAGGCTGTAGAGGTTAGAGGTTAACCTTTTCTCAAAAAAAAAATAATAAGAAGAGGCTGTAGAGGGAGAGATTCCCTCTACAGCCCCAAACTAGGATACAAATTAGCAATTAGAAAACCAAGAAAACCACTAAAAATAGCAACAAGCATTACAACACCAAGCTGCCACCCCATAAGATACAATCCCAAGATCAATAAAGTGATTATACTTCAACAGTTCAACCCCCAAAACAGCCTAGAGATGGACACCCATTTCAGAATGGTTCTTTCAAATTTTCCGCATAACTTCTCCAAGGATAAAGATTTATCTTTAAAGGCTCTGTTATTCCTTTCCCTCCAAAGGCACCAATATAGTGCAAAGGAACCCATCTTCAATAGAGCTTTTCCCCTTTTTCTGAAAGCTTGTGATCTCCAAGTAGAGAACAGGATTTCAAAATTTGGAAGGTTCACTCAGTTCACCCCAAAGAGCTTCAGAGAGTGAGCCCAGAGGACCTGAGACAAGTCACAGCCCACCAGAAGATGTTGGGTAGTCTCTCCAGCCAAACCTCAAAGACAGCAACTCTTAACAATGATCTTGCCATTCCTTCTTAGGACATCAACAGTGGGAATTCTGCCTTTGATGATTGTCCAAATGAAGAAAATCACCTTCAAGGGAACCCTCAGCTTCCAAATCCAGATCCAAGGATTTGGATCAACATCCATCCTCATTAGAATGCAACAAAGCTGTCTTCTAACCTCGGTTGAGGCTTAACCTGTTCCATGGAATGCAACAAAGCTGCAAGAGATTTGATGTCCCAGTCATTTACATTTCTCCTTAACCTTGGGATCCAGACTATTTGATTTGCAATCTCCTCATAACAGTCAAAGATTTGAGCCTCTTTATCCTGGGCCAACTCATAAACCACCGGTAAAGGCATGCACAAGGGTCTGTCACCACACCATTTTTCCGTCCAGAACAATAATTTTTCACCAGAACCTACACTGAAGGAGCAAAGACCAAAGAAAGAGTCACTGTTCTGCAAGCTTGTGCCAAGAGGATCAACAGGGTGTCCTGATTCCCACCCAAAACCTAGATCATCCTACTTGTTCTTGATTAGGTTCCTCCACAAATTCATTTCTTTCCATAGCAAATCTCCAAAGCCATTTAGATAGGAGGGCCACATTTACTTGTTTAAGAGGCCTAATATCCCCACTCCTCGTTGGTTCTTTGGTTCTTGTTCAGATTCCTTGCCATTAACAAGGAATCTGCTAGGTCACTTGTCATTCTTCTAACTAATCTGAAAAAGATGTTTATCATGGAAGACTCTGCCTCCCTAATTAAGTGATAATACAACCAAGACCTTTTACGTCCACCTTGAATCCATCCAATTAGTACTAGAGGATCTCCTTCCATTCCTAAAATATAGTGCCTTAGATAAAAACTGACCAGTGATTTAAAGGGTGCGACTAGGCACACAGGCAAGGCGCATTTTAGGGTATGCACCTTGCCCAGGTCTCCTAGGCGCACGCCTGGTGCGCCTAATGCGCCGTGCGCCTTAGCCCAGGCATGCGCCTTTTTAAAATTTTGCATTTTTGCTTTTTTTAGCCTAACGGCTAGGCCGAGGGCTCCGCCTCCAGACCCCCGCCCACGCCCCTTGAGAAAAGCCCAAACAAGTCCATGTTAGGGTCTTAAATTCTTATTTCTCACAAAAATATCTTCTTAAAAGACAACTAAAGTTATAAAATCATTATGTTTATGTGAGAAATAAGAATTTAAGACCCTAACATGGACTTGTTTGGGCTTGCCTCAAGGGGTGTGGTACAAAGGCAACTCATAGAATCAAGAATGCAATATGTTTTACATCACATTAGCTACTTGAAATAATGCAATTGAGGAAAAAAAGATATTGTGGGTTTTACACACTTGAGAATGCTTTTAATGTTTGCTTTTACTTTTAAATTTTCATTTGAATACGCTTTACATGTTATGTTTATGTATTTTAATTTTAGATAATAGGTTTTTTATAACATTTATTTTAAATTTTAAGTTTATATTTTTTTATTAACATTATGTTTAATATTTTTAAATTTTTTACATTTTTTTAAATTTTGGCAATTTTTTAGCACTTCTTTGTAATTTTGCGCCTTGCTTCAAAAAGGCGCACGTCTCGCCTTGTGCCTCAGGCGCAAATTGGCCCTTGTGCTTTGAAAACACCGAGACTAACAAACAACCCTTGAAGAAGCTCAAGCCAAATTGAATATCCATCTCCAATTAGTCCTGATTCTCCTGAACACCACCAAAACTACTCCAGCATGATCTCTGAAAGCCCCCCATATCCCCAATCTTCCTGGATCCAATGTAGCAGCCATCAAAGTTGAATTATATGATATTTAGAAAGGGAGAAAAACAAGATAGGAAAGTATAAATCTTCTAGTCATAGATGATGCCAGAACATGCCATCCCCTAATCAGTCATTAAATCACTAAACTCCTCCTTTCCAAATCTTACAATAATTCCATCTTTTTTCCAACTCAGGAAAATTGATCTTAGTTATGCTTATCTAGTTACCAGAGAGAGAGAGAGAGAGAGAGAGAGAACTGTGCTATCTATTGAAGGGCCTTTAGCCCCACCATGGACCAACATCTGAACTCATCTGCCAAAAAGAAAAAAGGCCCAAATTTCTCTGGTACATATCAGCATCCAACAGTAGTCCCTCCCATGCAGAGATTTAATTGCTTTAACATTGTAGTGAAAAACATAATTTCATCAAAGGAAGCACTAAAAGTTACTAAACACCAAGTAAGCATAACCACAAAATACTTCCAAATGTGGGAAAGTGCTATTTCAACTTACTACAATATGAAATCTGAATGTGAATAAAGTAATACCAGGACCAGGAGTTTATAAATACAAGTTATTACTAATTTTCTGACCTAGTACTAGAACTCATTGAGCATGCCTATTACATGTTCAGTAAAAACAAAACTGTTGCAAAAATAAAAATAGTTCAATCAATAGAAGTTTAAGAATAGATCAAGCAAGAAAGAAATTAAATACTAAAAGAGAATATACTTAAATAAAGTTAGAAATGACTTTATTTAAATATCAGAATGAAAGTCAGCTTTCGGTCATTTGAAACTTAGTCCTTTTCTTCTGAATGAAGAGCTTAAGAGTTTGAACAATCTGTAATAGAATAAAGCTTCTGTTCTAATTAAGTGTATAAAAGTGTGGCTATGAGCCATAAATGTATCATGAATTTACTATGAATTCATGACCCACCACACATAGCAACTCTGCACTACAATTTTTTTATCAGTTTTTTTTTAATCAGTAACTCTGGACTACAATGATACTCAAAAATAATGTATTTAGCTTCTATGAAATAACATGTTTAGTTTACTAGAAACCTATTAACGGAAGTCCAAATTACAAACCAAACAAATCAATTTTAGCTGCAAAAGGATTCTATAAAGGGCTTTAAAATTTTTCTGATTGATTTTAGTTACAATCATAGGCTTATACTATTTGAACTGATAGTGGCCACCAAAGGTAATGCATGCTCAACAGAGTGAGCTGCTCAGGCAATCACTAGTGTGTGATGCATGCTCAATAAAGGTTGTATTTGATTAAAGTTCTGCTCCAAAAAAAAGCACTCTTCGGAGAATGAGTTTTGAGCCAAAAATTATTCTTTTTTTAAGCTAATTTTTTAACTACAAACTTAAAATGAGTTTTAAGAAGAGGAAAGGATTTAGTTATAGTAATTTTCGTGCATCCAAACTTAAAACTGATTCTTAGAATCACAAAATTCATCATAACAAATTCTCTGAAAGCATGCCAAACACAGCCAAACTCCACCTGTTCCATTTGAAAAGGCAAACTTTCCCTGATCTTTCCCTCCAACCTCTCAACATCACAATTCAGAACCAGCATTTAAGATGAAAATCCAACACATAAAGCAATGGACCCTAAAGTTATATGCATTTAGTTAAACCTAGGTGAGTTTTGCAATATGACAATTCCATGTATTCATTCTTCGGAAACAAGGAACCAACCAGGCATTACTGCCACCTTAGATGCCTTCAGAACAAGGCCCATGTGTCAGATCACATGGGAATGTCAAACCATCATCAGGATAAAATAAGGATATTTTAGTACTTTGGGTAATGCATGAGGACATTTGTGTAAGATATGTGATTTAATTAAAATCTGCAAGTGGGGAAAGATATATTTCAAATATGATCCCAGAGAGATCTTCCAAACAATCCCTTATCTATTATTAATAAAACATTTGTTCAAATAAATAAAATGTTCATAATCATTGACATTTCCTTGTGCTAACCATATGTAATTTTAAAACAATTGAGATTTTATGCAAACCATTTAATATTCAGAACCATCCATCTACAATCAACAAATTATGTATACATGACATCTTGGAAGCAATCTTGGATCCAAGATTATTTAATTTTAGAAATCCACATTCCACGGGAAAAAAACAAACAAAAACTAATAGAAACTATGTCCTTTAAAACCATCAAAGTAATAATAATTCAATAATTAATCAATACCAGTATCAAGAAGAGTTAAGATTTGATAGGAATGCTGTGATTAAGTAGTAATGATGTATTAAAGTGCCATAAGTCATTTGATTCATACAACAAACTACAGCCAATGCTACTAACACGTTAAGGTTATCAAATGAAAGAGTTATTATCTGACCACCACTCTATCTATAGGGGGGGATTCACTATTATCGTAAAACTAATGTCAATAACAATGCTAATACCTTAAAAAACATATTTATTACATGCATAACCCTCACAAGAATACCCAGAAATCTTCCTCTAAAACGTGGTAAACACAAGATGAGCGGGGAAACATCAAATCCTCGAATTGGAAATTATAAATAATATCGAAGCACTAAATAGGTTACTAACCCTCAACCAATTGAACCATCATTGAAACGCGATAAAGAAACAAGGTATAAATCGACAAAAAAAAAAATTGACAGTTACAGAAATTAAGCGTACATGGTAATAAGCATATAATGCAAGGAACTGGCAAATTGGTTAATAAAGTAAGAGCAGCAAAAGTAACGACGACTCCAATATGATTAGACCTTAAAAAGTGAACCACAAACAGGTCTCCAATACTCTGAACACAATATACAATCTGCAGAACTATATACAGACAGAAGAAAATTTGTATACCTTTTTATCTTCCGAGAACGGTAAAAAGGGCTGCTTCTTGGCGGCAGCAGCTGTGGGGGATATAGTTGAGCCGAAGTGACGCCGCTTCCGGTCTGGTTCACCGGTGCTCCCCATAGAAACGGAGAAACCCTAGTACAACTCCTTCCCTCACATTAGGGCACACAAACGCTCGTTAAAGACGATAGAAAACTAGAAATTTAAGACAAAACGTTCAAAGTATGAGATGGATCTTTTCTTCTAAGGCGATTAAGTTCCCTGAAACCCTAATTCATGGAACTTCGAGATCAAAAGTGAGGAAGCTAGGGCAAAGGAGTTGGGAAGATTCCAAATAAAAAATACAAGCTTTTTTGTTCAATCAGAAACCCTAATTCGGATAATAGCCAAGTAAAGTTGCAGAAGAAAGTAGAAGAAGTTCTTGTCTTCGCGTAGTTGAGTTGTAAGTTAGAGAAACGCCTCTCTCTCTCTCTCTACGCATGCAGCCTTTTTCAACAGCGCCGAAGATGAGAGAGAAAAAATAAAATGAAAATAGTCTTTATACATAAGTTGAAAATGGTATTTATACATAAGTAGGTCTGGGGAATTTGTGAAACTGTGAGGGCATATGCGTTCAAAACCCCACAAAAACAATGAGGGCGTATTGGTCATTAACAAATCCCAAACGGGCTTTTAGTGTTTTACTACGTTCCATTTTTCCATAAATGTAACGTCTCCGTTGTTCGACCATATCCATCTTATAGAGTTTTTATCCAAAATTGGTAAATAGCGGGAAATGGTGTGTGGGTATAAGCAAGTGGGCGTCAACATAAATATACCGGAAACAATATTCCATGGCCGTGAATTAGCTGCGTTCACGGGTGGAGTTCGGATCACCTCCAACAAAATAACGTTACAACACCAGCACAATTCCATCATGATCTGACGCCCCACATTTCATACATGGTAGGTCCATGTAAAGTGTTAGATCATGCTACTAGGTTTTTGGAATGCATTTTATTAGCGGGTAATCCCAATTCCCATGAATTATATCCCAGTTATTTGAGTTGGGATTTACTCCCAAATCACTATTTTAAGGTTGAGTTTAATAATACTTTTTAGATCTCTAAAGTATTAATATGTTGCTTTTAAGATGTCAGATGTGTTTTAAAGTGTATTTAAATTTGGGTTTGAAAATTATTTTCATATCTGAAATAATAAGACTCAGGCTTGGCATTGAATGCATTTCAGACCTAATCGAAAGTCCAAAACACTCTTTAACTAAAGACATGCTTGTGTTTCTCTGACTAACCAGCAACGACAAGTGACTCCTCCAATGAACCAACAGTGGCGAGTGATTCCTCTAGTCTTTTCTCTCTTCTTATTCTTCTTCTGTGGTCCCATGGCTTCCATCCTTTGTTTTTCATTTTCAATTGCCATTGTAATTCTCAACAGCAGCAATCTCTCGCCGCTACAACTCTCAACGGCGGCAACCTCTCACCGCTGCAACTCTTAACAACGAAGACAACATGGGATCATGGGCTTGCAAAATCGGAATTGTCGCATTCAACTCTAACAACAGTAGTTTAAGGGAGTACTAAAAACTACTAAGAATCCCTCTTCATTGTTGTTGTAGTTACGTTGTTCACCGTATTCATCTTTCTTCTCCATTGAACAAGTTTTATTTATATTAATTATTTTGATTTTATTAATTATTAAATATTTTAATAGTTTTAAGATATTATTTTTCTAATTATTAAATATTTTTTCATTGCTTCATGGACTTTATTACTATTTCATTATTATTTTAACTTTTAAAATTTATTTTTAATTTATAGATTTATATGTTTTTCAAATTTTCCTTATTTTAATAAATTGTTTTTAATTTTTATAATTTATTCGTATTTTTAATATTAATTTGGATTTAATAAATTATTTTTATGAAATAATACAGATTGAACTCAAAATTACCAAATAGTCTAATTTATAAGTAAAATAGTAAAACCAGTGAATTTAAGATGCTTAAGGTTTGATCCAAAACAAACAACCTTCTTTATTCAGAGCCTCTAAAAAGTCTAAAAGCAACCGTTTCTTTTCAGATTTCAAACTTTTTTAATATCTTTTTTAACTTTCCATTTTTCATATTTTATATTTATTAAATGCCACCTAACACTCATCCAAAAATGATCTATATCCCTATATCTCAAATGAGATGGGTCCCAGTCTTACGGTAAGATGTGCCAATACAAGTCATATTGGAACATGTTGGAAGCACTTTTTGTTGTAAGCGGATCCCATATAATCTCATTTAGAAATTATAGCTTTCTTGAGATGGTCCAAATCTCCTCATTTGAGTTGGGATCTACTTCCAAGTTCGTGTCCCAACATGCATCCAAAATGATTTGTATCCCCCATATCTTAAATGAGATAGGTTGCAGTCTTACACTGAGATGTGCCAATACATGTCATATTGGAACATGTTGGAAATGCTTTTTGTTGTAAGCAGATCATGTCTCCTCTCACTTGGAAATTAGGACTTTCTTGAGATTGTTTGGATCTCCTCCCATGTCCCAATAAAAAGAACATCCCAACACGTTCCAAAGGGACTTGTATCCACATGTCATGCATGATGGGGTCCCAATGTAATAGGCCATAGTTTTATGGTGTGATGTGTGGACACATGGATCATGCATGTTGGAATTTGTTGGGACAATGTTTTTTGTTGGAAGGAGATCCCAACTCTACCAATGAATAAATTGATCTATCCCGTGGGTCGAATTAGTTCAGCCATAAAATGCCCCTTTCTAATTAGATGAAACCATCTACAAAATCACATTGACCCAATTGAATCATCTCATCCATATTTATTATTAGTTCAGACCCATACGATGCACAAGCTTTGTTAATTTGAATTAATGCAGATGGAATCTCATAACATTCCTTATTAGACCAAGCCAAATTGATTCCACCCCCAAGCATTACTTTTGTGTTAATATATTGTCTAGGAATTTTTTAGTATTTTTTAATTATATTTACTAACTTTTGTGATTTTAAAACAATAATAATTAATAAACTTTTATTATTTTTAATGGAAACTAAATGAATTTTTAAATTTTCATATTATTTGTTAATTATTGATTTATTAATATTTTATGTATACTAGTTATCGTTAGATAAATTTGCATTAATTTTAATTGACTTTATATTAATAAAATTATTTTTATTATTTTAAAAAATAATTGGAATTAATTTTAAATGATTAACTAACTAAATTAATTAATTCATAGTCAATAAGTAATTAAGTTACCATTTTTGTTGTTTTTAAATTATAAGAGAATTATATAGTGACCCCATTCCTGCCCCTGCCATATCCTTGATTTAGGGTACAAAAACTTCCCTAATCCCACCTCATCCCCACTTAAGATCGGGGAAAACCTGCCCCCATCCGGGATGGGTTGGTTTGGAGACTTGTATGGAGAACTTGTCCCCCATACATCCTTGATTTGGGCAAAAGAAATCCCCATTCCTACCTCATTGATCCATATTTAAGTTTGGGAAAACCCATTCCATTATGGGTGAGGCTCTAAATTGCCATCCTTAGACGGACAACTATATTTTAATTATATATACTAAATTATGATTAATTAAGTTTGATCAATTTAATTATTCATTTTATCAAGCTAATTTAATCATTAATTATTATATTGTTAAGTAACATTAGTTACATTAATGTAATCATATTTACATTTTTATCTAGATTGAGATTACATAAACTAAAATACTATAATTAAATTTAACTAAATGATAAAATTAACGTAGTAGGTTTCCATAAAGAAGATTAACTAATTAAAAAAATTATTTATATGATGTTAAATTGTGTCCAAAAATGGCTTCTCAATGGTTCAGTTTTGTCAAAGTGTATGTGGAATGCCTAATATAGTATAGATATATATTATACTCCGGTATAGAGAGATTTTAAGAATACTTTTAGGAGATATCAAAATAGGATAAACATAGAGGAAAGAGGGTTGCTGACTTGGCATAATGGGAGTGGTTGGTAAGGGGAAAGAAAAGAAATTCAAGGAGAAAGTAGGAAGGGTTTGGATAAAAGAGATGCATGTTGAACCATTAAGGGGTGCTATGTAATGTGGATGAGAAATTGGTGGGTGTGAGCTGGTCCACACCACACCTTGTGGTAGGGACAATCCAGACGAACCACACCACACCACTATCTACAACTGTTCTACATTGTGGATAAAACTATGTGGATAGAAACTGTCTACACCCACGGGAGGCATTCTGTAGGTACAGTGTGGTCCACACCATACCTATTGATTCCATATTTTCATACATCTCACGTACAACCTGTGGGATAATTTACACAATCAATCATGAATGGAAAGAAACCATAATTTAAGCCAAAATTAATTTGGAATAATAATGGATAAAATAAAACACCAATATATAATTATTACTAATATAAAATAAATATATTTGTCATTATAATATTATCTTCAACAATAAACAATTTAAAAAAATAATTTCAATATAAATTTAAATATGCTAAAAAATTAAATAAAACGATGGTAGTTAGACCAGTGTAACACAAGTATGTTAAACTGAATCCTTCCCATAAATTGTCCACACAATAGTGTAGCCCATCTATGAGAAAATAATGTGGATGATATTGTCCTTGTTACACTATTTTGTGGATAGGGACCATCCACACAAAATGGAACACCGCATTCTATTGTGGATAGGAACAAAATGGCCCCGTCCATGATATATTCACTCTACCAAACACCCTCTAATATATTTTCCCCTATTTTGTTTTGCATTTATTTGTTTTTTACTATGATTTGCACTTTAACTTGATGCAAAATTTGCACTTCATCCTACCTTAATTCTCTATCATATAACTTTGGGACCACACCAATTTTCTTCCTACCTTGCCCTCTCCAAATAAATAACCTTCCATTGACTTCATTTTTTTTTTCCAGATAAATGTTGAGAATCGCATCATTTTATTTGATACAATCTAACACGACAAGGTCAAATCCGAAGCAAAAAGTAAATTAAGATTTATACTCATTCCATTTGCACCATTATACACTTACAATAGTGCATTTGCAACAAATTAAGCCTAAGTAGTGATTAAACTATATCAAGTAAGTCATCTATCACCATACCATCAATAAATTTCTGATGGAATTGGTTTAAGTATAACATTGGGGATATTATATCCATTAAACATAAAATACAAAAATGAAATGTTTTATATTTGGGAAAATATAAGATGTTGGATAGACATGATATTGAAAAAAGGGTTTAACCATCGAAACCCCACATGAATTTTGATGAAAACCCATTTGGCTACCACTTTTTACGATGGAGGTTGATTGGTCATAAGTTTTTCCTATCATGTCATTTTGGCATCAACGTTGATTAATTATTTAATGACTATCTTACATGAACCAATCAACAATAGTTAGAGCATAAATAACATATGTTTAATTTAGAGAATGAAGTTTAAATATCTAGATAAAG